AGACCTATTATATGCAATCAGAAGATGACTGTCAAGAGATGCTGAATACAAAATAACAGAGTTGGAAGGGACCTCGGAGGTCTTCTAGTCCAACCTCCTGCTTAGGCAGGAAACCCTACCCCACTTCAGACAAATGGTTATCCAATGTCTTCTTTAAAAACTTCCAGTGTTGGAGCATTCACAATTTCTGGAGGCAAGTTGTTCCACTTATTAATTGTTCTAACTGTCAGGAAATTTCTTCTTAGTTCTAGGTTAGTTCTCTCCTTGATTAGTTTCCATCCATTGCTTCTTGTCCTATTCTCAGGTGCTTTGGAGAATAGCTTGACCCCCTCTTCTTTGTGGCAGCCCCTGAGATATTGGAACACTGCTATCATATCTTTCCTAATCCTTCTTTTCATTAAACTAGACATACCCAGTTCCTGCAAACATACTTTGCATGTTTCAGCCCCCAGTCCACTAATCATCTTTGTTGTTCTTCTCTGCACTCTTTCTAGCGTCTCCACACTTTTTTACATCATGGCAACCAAAACTGGATGCAGTATTCCAAATGTGGATTTATCAAGGCATTATAAAGTGGTATTAACACTTCACATGATCTTAATTCTATCCCTCTGTTTATACAGAATGCTGTGCTTCCATTCATGGGAAAACCTTATAAACAACCACTGGTGTCTAGATATTTACAATAGAGATCAATGACTGGGTTATGGGTTTTCTGCAAGTTAAATACAAGAACAGATTTTTAACAGAGGTCTTTGAAATTTAGCTTTTCAGTTGGGCTTATTTGTTAGCTGTCTTTTTTCAGTTGATTGACAGTAGGTATGTCAATCACCCAACTAGAGAACCCATCCCCCAAATAAAGTAGACACTCTTGAGAACTTTAAAATCCCAAAAGTAAAACTTTATTGGATACACCATTTTGACACTGAAGAATTACAACCAGCTCTGAGGTTTTCCCGTGCAACAATATATAGTTAAACATTAAGGTTCCCTTCTTCCCACCCATCATTATGATCATTCTGTCCAATAAGGAATTAATCCTTTGTTTTGAGAACACTTTATTTCTTTCTTGGACACCTGCAGATGTGACCTTGATGGTTATCGGCTCACAAGGTATATTCGGTCTATTCTTGGATTGCCTGCATTCCTTCTCACTCTTCTTTTCACCCAGTTCTCTGGGAACTTGAACAGCAATAAGTCTTCCAAATAGTTGTCAGAAGCAGTTCACACTTGACAAGGTCAAGGTGGTTGGGTAAATAGAGCTGTAGGAGTTCATAAATTGTTCATCTGTTTTGCAAGGAGGGAACTATTGTTGTTGAAATATACATCTCAGTATTCGTCTCATGGGGACAGACTATGTATACATATTTGGTATTGTTTTAATGCATAAATTTTGTCATTTTTTCTTATCTAATCTACCTGGCAGAACATGGTGTAGGCTTTTTTGCCTAAGCAGGGGGTTGGACTAGAAGACCTCCAAGATCCCTTCCAACTCTGTTATTCTGTTCTGATTAACCTAGCTAATTAGATAGCCTAATTTTATTTTATTTTATTTTTTTCAAAACAAACACAACACATAAAATCTTTCTTCCTTACATATTGTAGAAAGTGTATCAGTTGCTTACAAAAGGTTTTCA